AAACCTTTTAGCTCTTAAAAGGATGCTTTTTTAAAATCGACATTTTATCATTATTGATATTTTTTCTGCGAAACTGAAATTTTCATAACACATGGGTAAAGGTCCCAAAGGAAAAATTCTTAAAAATTTTAAGATTGTCATCAGTGAATTATATAAATGATCAACCGCCTCTAATATGAATAAAATGGCAGTGTCCATGTTTTGCAATGGGAAACCCAAAATATGTGTAGGATGGAAAAGTAATAGAAGGTGCACAACAGCAATATGTTATAAAGCTTCTATGAAAATTTCGTTCAGTGGTGTAAGAGGAGTTGCGGATAAGAGATGGGTATACCCACAGACCTTTAGATCGCTTTTTAATAAATTGTGTGTGTAAAAAATAAAGGTACTGAACTCTTCCACTGGGTACCTAATTTCGCTAATAAAATATTTTTTATTCTTATGCTCTAAAATTCTACTTTCTTTGAAATCTATTCATAGAAAACCATTCTTTAATTCTACCAAAGCTCATTCCGAAATTCCATATATTTCTTGAGATATTCTGAAATCAATTTCAAAAATGACCTTTATCTTTTACTCGACATTAGCTTGGGCCCCTGGTCATTCTCATGTAAACAGTGCGGCGAAGAGTTGCGTAGTATTTGCAAAATCTTTCAACAATTTAAAGTTGATTTCTTATCCAGATTGTAACGTTAAGTCTGTAATAATATTTCTTTCGCCAAAAATTAATTTGAAAACGTATACATAAGCGGGGGGGGGGGGGGTTATAAAAAGGACTAATGTAGTCAGGCAACAATATGCCCCTGCATTTTTTTGCTATTCAATGTCTCTGAATGTCTTTCTCGAGATTTTTGCAACTCAAAAAATCTGAAACAGTTGTCTGTATTTGAAATAATAATATTGTTCACTCACTTAACCTCCCATAAAGATTTTTAAATTTAAAACCACGTTCAACTCCCATGGTCTTTTAGTCTTTGATTTTATAAACCGCTTCGCGGTTTATAAAGCGTAAAATGCCCCCCAAATTATGTTATATCGTATAAACATGTTAATTTAGCTTTATTCCTTAAATAATATGCAATGTTTGTAAAAAATTGTATTTGCTAACTAGCATTTCTACCATAAATAAGAAATTAAGCACTATATTTCTATTTGCTATTTTTTAATGACGAGACACTTTTTATAGTCTTACTATATATAGACATTTTTGCATAGCTATTTTTGTTCTGTAAATTTTAATTTTGTATTCAGGTCTATAGAAACCGTTTGAAGCTCGAAGTCCTTTGTTTTTTTTTCCCACCACAACATTTAAATCTTATCTCAAACCAGGGAAAAAATTACAAATATCGATCAAGTCTCGCTTCAAATCTCATTTTCACATTCCAAAGTCTGTAAATAAAGTCATTTATAGGTCATTCATAAGGACAAACACCACCAAATGTTTTCCCCTAGACTTCCATACAAACTTTAGCACCTCTCACTGATACATATATTGAATTTCGGGAAAATGGTCTTTTTTTCGTGAAAGTTGGATTTGGAAAACAAAAAATGCCAAAAAAATATACCGTGCCGTTGCACTTTTACTTTCAATTTCCATTTGTTTACAACTAGGTGCGTTTGACACCAAATGAAAATCTCTAACCAAAGTGCATTCCTTCCTTCAAATTTTTACCTGTAACTCCTATATACCTCAAAGAAACCCAAGTCTTGATATGAGATTTTTATCAACTTTATTTCACTTGTCAATTACATAACAAGTCTTTTCTCTTATTGACCAACAGGGCCCCAAGCATTTTTCCTCCGCACAACCTTGGGTTCCAAAATTTGCCCCTGTATTTGTTTATGTGGGGTTTTTTCCAAAGGTAAAAGAAACATTTATAAAAAGTGGTCAATTTAGTAAATTTAGAACACATATCCATTTTTATCTCACCTCTTGAATAATGGGACTGACAGTCTTATTAAGTACACCATTGGCTGTTACATTTCACACCCAGAAAAGGCCCCCACATCTGTGAAACAAAAAAATGTCTTAAATTGAAGCTTTTTATTTTTTTTAAACTTTTAAAATAAAATGTTTAATTTGCTTATTTTTTGCTTGTTTTTCTTATTATCTCTAAAAATTTTTGAAAATCATGTTAATCATTCGGGTAACCGTTATTAATGAAAAATGAAAAAATAGCAGGTTTTTGTGGGAAAAAAGCGGGTTTTTGGAAAAGGTGAAAATAATTAGATAGAATAATCAGTGGAAAGAAAGAGAATTATATCTACAAATGTATATAAATTTTTAAAAAATCTATCAGCGTGGGTTGCTGGCATCGGAACAAATACACCCCCATTAAAAATTTTGTAATTTTAAAGGGGGGGTACCTACATTTTACCCAAATTTTTCATGATCATTTCATGTAATTGATGTTAAATATGTATTTTCTCATAAAAAGGCAAATATATTTATTAGCATATTATTTCTTATCAATGACATAATTAATAAATTGATTAAATGCCAAGGGCAGATAACTCATATTGTCTGACTGAATACAGTGCTCAATTGTAAGCAAAGTGCTTAAATAACTGCAGTTCTGAGGAAATTTATTTTCTAATAATCTATAAAAAGTTCTTAATAACTTAAATATTAAGAGATTAACTAGTTTTTTAAGCCATCCCTTTGAAACTCTTAATGAAAGCAAAAGGAATCCTGAGAGTGTCCATGTTTTGTTAATTGTAAAGGGTGGGGTTATTAATCTCTTCCTTCTTGATAATGCATTGCTAAAATACATTTTATTTTATTAAAACATACTGATAAATGCATATAGCAGCTTATATCTTAATTTTTTATTATTTACACCATCTTTTGAATTTCTTTTAAGCATTTGTGATGTAATACCTTTAAAAAAAATCATGTTAAATAAATTTACTCAGATAATTATTTTTAAAAATATCAAAGAAATTGGAAAAAAATAACTGCAGATAAGCATGACTCTTGTTATTCAAATAAAGCAAATTTAAACAAAATTCCTTCATTTTTAGCATGATTAAAGCACAAAATTACCCCCCCCCCCTTTTAGCAGAATATCAAGATTGGATATGGCAAGGAGGAGGGATATTCAGACATCTTTTTATAATTTTTTCAGTTATAATTTTGCATATTTATTGCATTTTCAATGTATTTTCAGCAAGAATATATTGTACTGTAATTTAAATTAAATTTCCTACTAGTAATCTCTAAGTTTCACCAATGTATAACTCTTATTTCAAGCCAGCACTGATTACATGACTGAAACTGGCTTTTCTGCTGGATTATGCCCCTTATGTAAAAACAAAGTACCCTAATTAGCTAACAGCAGTCAAATTTTGTTATAAATTATTCAATAACTTGATTTAAAACAAATTTAAAAAGGGTTTTTCAATCTGTTCCAATGTCTACACTCATAAAATACATGGATTTAAATGAATTTCTCAAACTGCGAGGGGGATATTCATATGTTTTGTGTATTGATGATGCCCATAAACCTCAATATTGTATTATTTACAATATTCACAGTAAATTTCAGCATGAATGTTTATTTAAAATTATTTACATGTACATTTATTGAAAAATGAGAGCAGGGCAAAAAGTTTGGCATTTTTTCACTATGTGCAGCCCCTTTTTGAGCCCCCAAATTTTCCCAGACCCCCTAATTTTTAAACAAATAGTCAAAACTAACTAAAATATAATCCCAATGCCGAAAAAATAGGAACTGATTGATTTTTTGGCTGTAATGAATTTTTATCCATAAATCCTACCTTTTCTATAGGACAAACACCACCAAATGTTTTCCCATAACTTCCATCAAACTTTAGCACCTCTCACTGATACATATATTGAATTTCGGGAAAATGGTCTTTTTGCTGAAAGTTGAGAATTGGAAAACAAAAAATGCCCGAAAAAATTCCCTGCCGTTGCACTTTTCTTTCAATTTATTTGTTTACAACTAGGTGCGTTTGACCCAAATAAAATCTCTAACCAAATGCATCCCTCCCCCTTTAAATTTTTACCTGTAACTCCTATATACCTCAAAGAAACCCAAGTCTTGATATGAAATTTTTTTCAACTTTATTTCACTTGTCAAATACATAACAAGTCTTTTCTCTTATTACCCAAACACGCGCCAGCTAGCATTTTCCTCCGCACAACCTTGGGTGTCCAAAATGTCTGCGCCCATGTATTTGTTTATGTAGGGGTTTTTCCATAAAAGGTAAGTAACAAAAACATTTTAATCATTTATGACCTGAGTATGATGCAGTTGTGATTGGGGGAGGGGGATAAATAATCATTATTGAATTTTATGTGTTTGGAGAACTTTCTTTTTAAAAAGCTTGTGTGGAGATGTTATGTAAAATTGATTTTTTGTTGTCCATGTACTTGTTTCATATATTACTTCTCCATGTATCGTAGAACTCATGTCCATGATTGTCTTCTTTAATTATTAATAGTTTTATCATTTTCAGATGGCATTATCTAAAATCGATATTCCCCCCCGAGCCCAGCACTTTCTAGAATGCGGCATTGAAGAATGTGAAAGAAACTGTAGTTCTTTGCAACCCTTGTCATCAAAGACTGTGTAAACAATGCAGCGAGGAACATCTGAAAAGTCCAGAAAACAAGAACCATGAGGTGGTCCTTTACCAGCAACGTAAACGACAACTTCCTGTGGAGAAATGTAAGATCCACCCCACTAAAGATGTGGACATGTTGTGTGAAGTATGCCAAATTCCAGTATGTTCCAAATGTGCCACACAAAGAAGCATGGGGGCATACATTCACTGATCTAGAAACAATTTATGCTGATAAATATGCAGACTTTCAAGAGGAAATTTTCAAAATCCAGGAGTACTTTCTACCCACATCACAAGACATACAGAAAGAAATTAAAAAAGATTCCTCACAAATTAAACACCTCATGGACAACATCAGAACATGCATGAATACTGAAGGTGAGACCCAAAAACCAAAGTGATATTGAGAACATGAAGCAGTTGACCAGATAGAGCATTCACTGTTAGAAGATCAAAACCCCAAAAAAATGGATGATTACAACAATTATCTTAATAACCTTGTCAAAGAGCTCCACAGATGCCTGTCCTCTACAGAAACCCAGAAATTAATGTCTGAGACGAAACCAAAGATCCATCCTTCCAGAGACAACAAAACCAGTCAAACCAGGATTTACTGCTGGTCAGTACAACAAAAGTGATGTCTCCGAGTTCTTGGTAAAATACATCTCCCCAACACTAAGGCAGAGAAGAGAGAAATAAGGCCCATTGAAAGTGTCTACAATACAGCAATGAAACCTATACATAAACAATAAAGAAGACAAAAAAGTTCTGACAAGAAACACACAATGTCTCTATCTGCCTCTGTCACCAAGGTCAGGGAGTTCAATTACCCGGTGTTGATAGTGTATACCATGTATCACTATATCAATCAAAAAGACTCTGGATCAGTGATGATGCGGGTAATCTTGTCCAAACAGATCTACGGGGAATGTGATACAGAAGATAAAAACCAGTGGGTTTTCCCCGGTTACCACACAGTCACACAGGACGGGATCTGATCTTTACAGACATAGACAAAAAATCATCAATAGGATAACAAAAGATAATAAAATCACTGAATTCATGAAAACTGCAGACTTGGAACCATACAGCATACACTCCTCCCACATCAACGGGGACTTATTGGTGGGGATGACTGATTATGGAGAGGGAAAAGTCACCAGGTACAACAAGACAGGAAAAGAACTGCAGAACATACAGAGGGATAACAAAGGACAGGGACTGTTTATTTTACCGCACTACATCACAGAAAACATCAATGGAGATATCTGTACATCAGACTTCATTAAAAAGGCAGTAGTGGTGGTGAATAAATCAGGACAACACAGGTTCTCCTAAAAGGGAAGTCAGAGTTTAACCCTATGGAATCTGTACTGATGTCCTCGGTCACATCCTGGTGTGTGATATATATTATGAGAGTCCTGCTGTTCACCTCCTTTACCAGGATGGTCAGTTCTTGTCTCTATTTCACCAAAAAAAAGGGGTAAATTCCTCGTAGTGTGTGTGTGGATGATGAGAACAATCTCTATGTAGGACAACTAGACACCAACACACTGACAGTGTACAAGTATCTCCAATGATTATTATCCTGGTATTAACAAAGCACTCACACTATACATATACATCGAAATATCCACTTATACCAATAATTTTTTTTACTTTCTATACAACATGACTACATTTTCTAATTGTTTGATAAAAAAATTGTATGGAATCCCTTTATTTAAATAACACTTTTAGTTACAACTTGCTTAATTGATTTATGGTATTTTACAAATGTATACATTTCAACAGTTAATTTTAACATATGCATGTTTTATGTTGTTATTTTACTAATAATGATCACCTATGAAATTATTAAATTTAATAAACATATTTGTTGGAATCAATCATTATACACAACTTCAAACAGAATGAGATTTATTTTGTAAACAAAGTTGTTGAGTAAATTTTTATTAAACATTTAAAAAAAATTGTCTGTGTAGCTTTGTGGATTTACAGGCTGGATTAGAAATTGTTTTCTAGAATAAGAGTCGTAGAGGAAAAGACGTTTACATATATTTAGTTAAACAAAATAGGATTCAGGGATGTGGTATCGTTTTTATTAAAAGTGGGAGGGGTGCCTGGGAAATTTGATGACAATCAGCCCATATTCTTAAGAAAATGCTTCAGCCATCATTACATGATTAATATTGTACATTCCCGTCAATAAATGCTAAAGGTTGCCTTAAAACCATGGGAGTTCAAAATACCAAAATCAATTCGAATAGTTGTATTTTTTTTTTTTTATATTTCTTATTTTTAAGTTTCTTGAATTTCGCTTGAATCAAACATGTCAAATGGAAGAAATGGAAGTTATGGTTAAAACTCTTAGTGCGGTTTTTAGAATTGTTCCGCAGCAAAAATTAAGGTCAAGAAAATCAGGAAAATGTGTCTTCATTTTAATATTCGGTCAAAAACAGATTAAAGACTTTTAAATTATATATGTATCTTTATAAACTAAATTACTCAGTCATCGTGTAGATTACGTCGTACAAACTGGTGTAAAAAAACTGCGATATTATTTTGTTCACCTAAAAGAAAAATTACGTATGCACAAGTGTATGTTTAAGGGGATGGAACCATTATAGGAGGATGTGCATTAATTCATACGCATAAAACGACAAAGAGTTGACAGATGCAATTTACATTGTATATATTAATTGTTCATGCATGTTTCTTGTCGAGTCAATGTTGTATATAACGAGTTAAATTTGTAATGTAAAAATTCTCAAATAATAGTGCATGTTAAAAATAGGTCAGACTCTGTGTTTCGCCACATTGTAATACTGAAGTTGTAGAGATATTTTACATGTACTAATTCATGTAAATTGTTTACATAAAAATTAGGGTTTTTGCATCTTTTTGTGCTTCCATTGAAAAATAAAATACGAATTTATGTTTTTTGTCAAAATTCCTTCTTAAATTTTTTCCCGTTTTGAAGTTTTCAGAATTCTTAATAAAATAATAAGCAAGGTATGCAAGAAATCTGTATTTGCTACTTAGCATTTCTACTAAATAAGAAATATGGCATCATATATTTATATGCTATCTTTTTTATGACGAGACATTTTTTACAGTATAATTAGATATTTCTGCATTGCTATTTTGTTCTGTAAATATTAATTTTGTATTCAGGTCTATAGAAACCGTTAGAAGATCGAGGGTTTTTTTTCCCTTCCCCCCTTTTCCCCCCACCACATTTCTTAATTTTCCCGAGTTATCGTTCGCTTCGCTACAACTATAAGTGGAACGACAAGTTTGGATTTCCAGAAAGCCTGAAATGTCATCTCTTTGGTATCAATAATGTCAAAGAAATAAAAAGAAAGGGAAATATTTTAATGCAATGAATATATGGATTTTTACACCTGAAGTTCCCAAATGACTTATTCAGCAAACTCCACAGTAAAGTACGCAGTTTCTTTTTGCCGCAGTATATATATGGAAAGCATGGACGTCTGCGAGAGCACCCAAAGCGATTTTTGGTGAAATATCATTCTAGCGGTATTTGTGCTTCTGGGTGTTTACAATTTAATTAAATTCAAATACTTTCCTTGAAGTATATTTTCTTACGTACAATACGTACGGAATTATCAACAATACTTAATTATCATTCATTTAAAAGCAGCTAATCATTAAAGTTTGACAGGAATTAATTTAATAAATCCAAATACAGACTAAAAAATTAACATAAAATTAGAGTTGACCACTATTCTTTCATTTTTTGCAGAATCTAATTGTAACTTTTTTTTGCGGGAAACCCGTTTTCCCTTCACGTCAACAAATCTTATGAAATGTAGTAAAATATGAACATTTTACTATAGATAAAAGTCCCCCCTTAAAGTAGTATTGGTGACGACTAAGACAAAGTCTACATATTGGTAAACGGTACAGGTAACAAACAACCATGAAAAGGAAACAGGTAACACGCGTGGTGACTACAGGTAGGACTACTGGGCTGACAATGGGAAGCGTGTTGGCCAGCACGGGTGGATGGCTATGAGGTCAGGGGGATAGGTCATGGGAATACATTAACATACACAATTTCACTCACTCCTCCCCCTTTTATTTAATAAAGCTAGGGGCAATTACTGTAATTTACTTAGAGGAATGTAAACCAGAAATGTATAAATATTATCTTATATGACATGG